ACAGAAGCCATCCCTGTAGCCCCTCGGCTACCCAAACCTTGCCAAGCAAACCCAATACACCATGAATCTCCTGCTGCCTAGAGGCATGTTAGCAGTAAACCCATCTTCCCAAGCTTCTGGAAGGACAAACAACGTGTTAGTGGCAAACTCTAAACGAGGGAAAAGCTCTGTGCTTACTTAAACATGGCAGGACCAGTTTTCCCCATTTGTTATGGGCAATGACAACTTCTTGAAGACGGTGTGTAATTAGCAGGGTAGTCAGGCACTCCATCTAACGGCTTACATGAGCATGCCAGACACCACAAAACCTCAAGGCATGAAGGGTCCAGATTTAACAGCTTGAAACTGACGTTTAGTCAGCGAGTCTACAAATGAAAAGCTGCGTTAGATGGCTGTGCCTGGATGTACAGGTCCCAGCAAACGGAAGGAAGATGTGAACTACTCCACAGTGACAGACCACGTGCAATGAGCAACTCGCAGTAGTTTCTTCCCAGTAACTGACAGTAATTTAGCCATGGAGTCGACTTGCATTTCTCTGTCTTTCAGTGAAATAGTTTCCTCAAAAAAATGTATTTCTGTGATTTTATTAGACTTTCAGTACCTTCTTCTCACCTTATCAGGGATATGGGATTGCCCTGAGTAGCATCCTGGGACAACACAAGATAAACCCAAGAAACATCAGGCACTTGGTAGGGGACAGAGGGTGGAGAGCAAGGTATGGCAACTCCGGTTTGAGGATAAGGAGCTGATTGATGCTCCAGTCTCACTTGCAGGTGCTGACATCAACCTCAAGCCCTGCTGATTTTCTCTAGTTTCAAGTCCTCACATGAGGAAAACAAACAACCCACTCAGAAAACCCCGGGCCAGCATTTTCAGATCATGATGGCTCTTAAATCAGAGAAATAGCACTGGGGTTTATAGCCATCCCAAAGGTACGGCAATACCTGTACAGTAACAGTTGTGTAAACCATGTGCACGAAGTACAAATTCATAGATGGATCCATAGCCTTGTGGGCAATCCTGAAGTCCAAATATCTAACTCCAGCCTCAAGTTGCTCTGTCACAGTCAGTACCTAAAAAGTGAAACAGACGACAAAGGTCCTGAGAGTGTGGAAGGGATTTGCTTCTTTCATTTAGGAAGCCAAAAGAGGTGTACAAAGTTAGCCCTATGACATTTTTCACAGGTCTTTCATCTTCAAAATAGCACTGTATGGCACCAACTTACACCTTTGAATTATTTTACTCTCTGACAAGAGGGATACCAATTTCCCTATGGCATATACTGCAGGTACAGATTAGATTAGTCTCAGACCTCTGCCCTTGTTGAGTTCTGAAAGTTAAAGATCCATTAACCTGTGCATAAATACACAACTGCCCTTCACAAGCCTGTTCGTATGAACAAAAATTGCAGGATCAGCACCTTAGAAATGCTGTATTTATTTTATTAGATCAAAGACTTTGTCGGTTGTCTCTGTGGAGCTCACACATCCCCAACAGAAGGAAAAACAAAAATAGAAGAAAGTACTGGCTACTGTTCTTTTTCAGGATAAAGCCTCTTTAAAAGTTTGAATTAACCTGCAGAAGTCCCACAAAACAGAGATCCTCCTCTATTTTCACTTTCCCTTGGACCTCTCCTGCTGGATTTGAAGGCTGAATGGAACAAGTAATAAAGCTGAATTTCTGGGCCAGAAAGTCCCAAATGATGTTTCTCTTATCTATATTAAGGCTCTCTCTGCATAACAAAGTAGAATCAATTTAATTAAATATGTTTAAACATTGATCTGTCTAGTTCAACCTGCTACAGGCAACTTCTAGGTTTCAGGAAGAACACACTGTACAGATTTAAATCAGAAAGGATTCAACAAAAGCTAAATTAATACAAGGTGTTGCTCCCAAATAACCACATTCATAGCTTTCGGGCCAAAACAGAGCTGAAGACACATGGCAGGATGCTCACCCTACCAAGCTTCAACCACCTAGCTTTCTGTTCTCAGGACAGGAATTCAACCTCCCCAGGCTGTGCCAAGCCACGGGGCTGGGGAGCAGCCCAAGCCACGTGCCCCAGGGTGCAGGTGGGGCGGTGGCTTGGGCCAACAGGTCCCTCTGTGCCTGCTTAGTCTGCACCAGGCTGGAGCACCTGAAGGAGTGGTCGGTGCTCAAGTCCCACCTTCGCTTGGAGCACGCTGGAGATGGGAGTGTACATGGCTGTAGGTCATATATAACCTTTGCGGCCAGAAAGAGCACCAGGTGAAATAGCTGTTCTGAACTGCCCCTTAGGAATTAATTTATTTCTGTTGACTGCATGGGAAAACTAGACAAATTAGACTCTCTAATTAGTCACCTGGGTTTGGACACTGAATTAGACAGTGTGAACATTGCCCCCCCAGGGCAAAATTTAAGAGGAAGCCTTGGGGAGCAATGTTGCTCAGTGCTGCAGTCTCACGCCAGATGTCCAGGGCACAAGAGGACGTTACGCACCTGATGTCAGCCATTGTGCCGGAAAGGTTCGGGCCTCCAGACTGACACCCATAACAGCCAGGGCTCAAGCCTGGCTCTGCTTCCTAGGCACTGGGCCATCCAGGACCCTGTGGATCCTACCATCATTAGGGCTCCCCGATCTCTGCTCCACATACCAATGGGTGGAATCACCTCCTCACACTGGTAACTCAAGTGCCGCAGGGCTAAGGAAGGGCAGGATTGCAGCCGGGCCTCCTTCCCACCAGCGCTGGGCCACTTCCCGCTCAGCACGCTGGGCTGGGACCAGAAAATGACTGTAATGATGTAAGGAGCTTGTTTGTCACCAACAGGGTCTGGCCAGCAACCCGCAGGTTAGGGAGTAACAACATCTCCCATTGGCTGAAGTCCCAAACCTAAAAAGCAGCACGACACCGGGCGCTGCGCTAAGCAAGTGCCTTGCCACATCGACTCATCGCTGCCATTACACACTCGATATCTGATAGTGTCGAAGACCCCACTTGGCCAGGGCTGCTCAAACACAACAAAACAAGTCGAGGCATAATTACTGCCGTTTATCAATTATTCAGTTTTAATTCTTTAATTGTTAGGAATTAAGTACTCCTTCCATAAGAACAAAAGAGAAAAGACTTTCGGCACCTCTTTGATGCGAGGAAAGTCTGTTCTTTAGAAAAATCTCCAAAAGCTCTAGCTTAAACCATGATCCCAAATTTTGTCTTTAACATACATTTGTGAGGAACAAAGACATTACTAGCTTAATATTTGGACACTGTGAAAAATTAACTAAAACTTGCATGAGGGACCACACCTTCATTCTCTTAATCTTTATGAAAAAAAAAAAAATCCTATCAACAAGATTTGTCTCTGCTGCTGGGTGAAATACTTCAACAATATAGATTGGGAAAACAACTCACATCTGACACAACAGTGACAGTAAAAATCATAAGCATTACCTTCTGAACAAGCTGTAAGAGTTTGTTCAGAGTTTGCTTGTACAGCCATGTACACTCCCATCTCAAACCTCTTTTGATTATAGTAATATGGAATGTCACAAATAACAACAATAAGCATGTGAAAAAGATGAGTTTCTAGTACCAAGTCGTCAGCTTTAAGCAACATCTTTGATGTCTGTGTATCATCCCTGCCTTGCCTACATGATTGGTACCTGTCTCATACTTCAGTGTGCTGGTTTTGGCTGGGGCAGAGTTATTTTTCTTCACAGTAGCCAGTACGGGGCAGTGTTTTGGGTTTGTGCTGGAAACAGTGTTGGTCCCAGGGATGTTTTTGTTACTGCTGAGGAGTGCTTGCACAGAGCCAAGGCCTTTTCTGCCTCTCACCCCCCCCCCCCAGCGGGTGGGCTGGGGGTGCACAAGAATTTGGGAGGGGACACAGCCAGGACAGCTGACCCCAACTGACCAAAAGGATATCCCATACCACATGGCATCACGCTCATTGTATAAAGTTGTGGGAGGAAGAAGGAAGGGCAGGGATGTTCGGAGTGATGGTGTTTGTCTTCCTAAGTGACCATTACACATCGTGGAACCCCGATTTCATGGGGATGGCTGAACCCTGCCTGCCCATGGGTAGTGGTGAATGAATTCCTTCTTTTGCTTGTGTGCACGGCTTTTACTTTACCTACTAAACTGTCTTTATCTCAACCCACAAGTTTTCTTCCTTTTACCTTTCCGATTCTCTCCCCTGTCCCACCATGGGGCGAGTGAGCGAGCAGCTGGGCAGTGCTTAGTCGCGCCAGCTGGAGTTAAACCACAACACCCAAGCACAGTATCTCACAAGCGCGCAGATTTCTGGGCAGTAGGCTATCCTTTCCCTGCACACGGGAGAACGTGACCACTCTCACTGCTGCAGCACAAGCTTCAGCTTTGCCTAGGCATGACAAGAGCACTAGACAACAGTTACCTGTGTTGTAGACCACTTCATGATAATAGGGCGCACAATGCAGGGCATGCATATGTTTAAGAACTTCACCAGCTTGGATTCATTGCCACTAACAGCAGAGGCTTTATCCAAGCAGTAGGTCATAGTGTCATGACTCCCTGTAGAATACAAAAATAAACATACAGGAAATGTCATTTCTTAACTACTCGAGCACCACAATACATGGTTACGTTGCCTGCGTACACCTGACATTTGGCATGTGATGTCAAATTCATTCCAAATCACACGCCCATACTGTCTGACAGCCTACGTAGTTATGGCAAAAAGGGGAGCTCTTCTACAGAGGTTGCTCACCTGACATTAATAACCTTGCTGTGAAATCCTCGTGAAGGGAAGGCATCAAGATTTTTCAGTAAAGCAGTCCCCACCTAAATTACACATCATTATTGTTTGCCTCAAACCACAATAAAATGTCCAGCTTCAACTAGCATCTTCAACTGAAATAATTGTCTTGATGTGTAAACCCATTTTTTTCAGGGAATAAATAGCTGAAGGCTGAATTTATCTAGAATTTGTCCTGTTTTTAGAGTTGTCCACATGCAAGATTTCATACAACAATCCCGTCTTCTCTGCAGAAGAAAATATGACTGAAAGCAAAAGTTAATCTTCTTACATCTTTGACTGGACTGGACCAACTCCTAACTTGGCAATTTAAGCATTTATATCTTAAATACCTGGTTAAAACGCCATCCTGAACTAAACACCCACATCCCTTAAAAAAATAACATAAGAGGTTGGTGCTTGAAGGTTTCAGAGACAAATCCAAGTCTAAGCTTACAATATGATAGATGGACAAGATCCATCTTTCATGGACTTCAAAAATTATCTGACTTTTTCCAGCACAGGGCATTACATAGGGGCAGGTTAAGCACCAGAGACAAGTACAGCCTGCACAAATATCTGATTTCTTTCAAGTCTTAATAAATCTGACATCTCTTGCATCCCATTTAGAGGAAACCTTACTACAACACACAATTTCTCTAGGACAAGCAGACAGAGATTTTTCTAGCTTTTTTTGTTCCATTATTTCTTCTAATTTTATAAAGCATCAGTAAGAAAATCTAACAACTCAGCAAAGTGACTTGCTGGCATCTTTAGAGTATCTGCAAGGAATTTGCATATCATATTGGGTTTTAAGTCTTCTGACAAACAGATTGTTCCCTGGTGCTAAGAACTGCCTTCTTGGATGGTCAGTCTTACTGGTGCCAATGGCAATATTTCTAGCAGCCAAAGAAAAAGGGCAAGATTATATTTAATAAAGAAAATTCTTTGAAACTGTCAATTATAGTTTAATGTCACACTCAATTTTTTCACATTTAAAAATGGTATTCTGTCTCTTTTCCTGCTTTAAACACTCAAACCAAGCTCACTGCGGACAGATAATGACAGCATGCAATCAAAGAAGTTTGTCTCACAAGATATAAGAGTCAAACCATTAAATACCCATGGATCAAATCCAAGTCTGAGCAAATTGAACAGGATCCTAACGATGGATGTTGCATCCACTGATACCAGTCAGCAAACAGATAGTAACCTTTCATTTAGGAGTCTTCTTGTGATGTCAGAGAGTTACAGTCACGGAAGGAAGATGGGTATATCCATGACAAAATGAATGTGATGCCAAGATAGTGAGCTAACACCAAACCAGGTAGCTTCAGAGCTTGAAGCAATGTCTCCCCGGCAGCAGTGTGCTGAAACACAACGCTAATTACTGAGACATGCCCCTGCCCCCTCATCATGCTTTCAGAATGCACTCTGTCACGTGTCCTGTGTGCCTTGTTGTCTTCTTTATCTAAGATAAGCTTCTGTTTCCAAACCGGGCTTCCCGCAGTTATTGCTCCCTCTGAAAATCGGTCAGAGCTGTCTTGACCTGTTGGTCTTGATCTGCTTTTGTTCTGACCTGAGCTGGACCAGTTTTGTAGGTCAGCTGGACAGCCACCAAAATCCCCCAAGCTAATAGCCTGCAATGCTCTGTAGAAGTCCTGCAGTGTTTGCCAAAATGGGCTTGTCTTCAACTGCTCTTTTCTTCCTGCTGTTCTCCGTACAGGCATAGATCAAACAACATTTGCAAGAATAACAAGTTGACCGTTACGGGAAGATCCAGGAATTCAAAAGCACACATCAGCAGGTTCTCAGCTTTCTACAATATACACCACTGTGAAAGCTTTTTTAGAAACAACATGGTTCCTTTTCCACAAAAAAAGACTGGGCATGCTACTGCTTTTTGAAGGATTTTTGCAAGGGGCGAGGCAGTGGGGTGTGGAGATGAAGAGAACATAACATACTTTCTTCTGTCATAAGATATTTATTTTCTTCTCTTGATGGTTAAATAAGAAATCTAGATTTTCTTTATAACATCTGTCCTGGGGTCCTCTTACCCAGCTTTATCCAAAATCGAAAGGTGCACTTGTTTGGATGTTAACACCGATTTAAATTACATATCCACGAAGTCATGAAATAAGTTGCTGGCTTTCAATTTTAATCAAAATTCCACACTCCAGTAGTTCACAAAGGGCAGGAAAAAAATCCACTATGGTTCTGGGGTCCTCCAAGGGCTTCACCCACTGGAGACAAGACTTGACTTTCCCACTATCTCTAAATATATGCGTTATTTGCTAAAGTTAACCTTGTACCCTACACAAAACATTCATCCACACACTGTGCTCCTTTCCACCCAAACTATCTGTCCCATCTACAGGTGTGAGAGAAAACATGGGCTAGACTTTTCTTTAGTACCTAGCAATTTTCATTGTGGAGGCAAAGGGAATCCCTCAAGAGCTGACAGTCCTCTGCTGCCTTGCCACATGCCGGTGAAAATAGGTTCTCCTGTAACTTCTTTGGACAGAATGTGGGGAAAAAAATCATCCATTCAAGGCAGCAGAGAGAGGCAATAATATGATCAAATCTCTTTGATTTGATGATACACAGGGCTGAATGTAGTACCAATAAGGACACCAGCTATAGTACAGCTGTATTTACCCATAATAGGATGAATCCAGTTTTCATAAGCAGGGTTATGCAGAAAAGTCATACTCTACATTAATAAAAAGATATGTTAACTGAAAGTCTCCATGGGCCTTTTTTCATATTTTCACAGCCTCTTTTAAATTGTACAAAAAAACAAATTATAAGGTTAAATGTTATTCCTTTCTTTTTGGAACCATTTTATTACGTAGGAATTGGCAAGAATGAACTAGGGAAAATCTCACCATTGCCCAGATAAGCAAATGCTCAGATGAACAACACTGATCTGACAAGATAATGCACAGGGACTGCAAAAATTCCCTCTTTCATTCCTTCCCTCAAATTTAAAAAAAAAAAAAAATCCTTTTTTCCCCCTCCCGCTAAGAACCCCCAAGCATTACAGACTAAAAATATTCACACGCACACACACACCACACAAACCCTTCCCCAAACCCTTCTCCCACACACTGACCCACATAATAAACGTTGCCATCCTGAAATGGGACAAACAGGATGTTCCAAGGCTTAAATGCTACGCTAACAAACCAGTGGAGAACAAAAGCTGATCTTTACCTGGAAGAGCTAAGTTATAGAGGGGAATATCCCAGAGCTTCTCCGGTAATTGTGACATCCATTGACCGTCTTCATGGCACGTGTGAATGGAGGTTTGCAAAGGCCCTTCCATTAGTGCCCACTCTAGGACTTCATAGGGTGTTCTGGGAGGGAAGAAGAAAAGGCAGAAAAGAATAAACCATTCCATACACTGTGGTTGAATTAATGCCATCGCACCTGTGCAGAATGGATTTATACATGCTATAAAATGTCAACCCCTCTCTCAAGTGGTTGCAGCAAAATGTCAAGAGCTTCTCTGCCACAACGTACACTGCTTTTGATAACACTGTGTCCCAGAACAATGCCAAGGGTGGGTTCCAGCTGTAGGTTTGTAAATTGACCAAGTAGAACTCAAAACAGAGCCAAGACAAACATGTACAGCTTTGTTGGTATGGAGAAATTACTATCTTCATTGGCTATTGCAACATCATGAGGAGTAACCTACTTCCGGTGTGAAACAATGCCTGTTCCCTGACCCTTTGCAGCCCTCGCAGCATGGCAGCGGGACCATGGCAGGGCCAGGACAGGGGCTGGGTCTGTGACTCTCAGGCCGCTGGAGAACACTTCCTTTGAAGCCTCAATTCAGCTGCCACAACAATACCCCCATGAAAAGTCTTGCCAAAGTTGCCAGGATTTTCAGGTCATGCTGGCTTCTGGGGTCAAAGAGAAAAACTTCCATGTCCTTATTCCCTCTTTTGAGAAGACCTCTTGATGTCTGTTCTTATCACCCCTACTGAGCCCAAGATGACAAGTACTTCAGTTTGGCCAGACCTTTCTGAAAACTACTCTGGAACTGCTCTTCTTTGGATACAAACCAGTCTGGGATCTTCTGCAAGGTTTGCAATGGTCACACAGGAGTGCCGGTGGATGAAACCCAGTTGAGAAATCATGGTTACCACCAGGGCCTACTAGGGTTATCCTGTTTGTTTTTCATTTTATGTTCTCCTGGACAATGCAGAACATGAGGACAAACTCTCCATGACATTATTTTTTTCCTAGGATATTCCTGAAGTTCAGGTGGTGTTCTGGGGATGAAAGCCCTCCTTCTTCTCGCAAGGCTTTAGCTATTTTTTCCACAGCTATGTAGCAGGACACTTTTTTTTAGATCACAGTGCTTACCTATATAACCTTCCTTTCTAATCCTTTTATAAAAGCTGTCACCGTGATGATTCCTTCTCATCTGCTAGAGCAATGGCAGTCAGATATTTATTTATGCAGGGTTTGTGCTCTGCCAAACATCCTCACTGGTCACGGTGCCTTTTGCTGCATCTCGGCACATTCATTCTTAACATTCTATTCATTCTGCTTCTCCCCAAAGTATTCTTCAGGTACCTTTTGGGAAGTGGTTGGGTTTTCTGGATTTACCAGTGAGCCATACTGTTTATATGTAAAACATGGTGCAATAGATTTGTCTTCTTTTTTTTTTTTTTTTTGGCAGTCACATAGGGCCATCTGAAAGGCAACTTTAGGAATTGCATTCCTAAGTTTTATGTCCATACCACACAACAGATACAATCTGCTTTTATAGCTGCCAATGCACCTAGCATCACTCGTCCAGCCTGCCTTGCTGTGTCTTTGGTGTGGCTTTGAATTGGTCTCTCCAAGTATGTCCACCCCAGTTAAGAAAAGAATGGGACCATATCAGATGAGGGAAATGCCCAGCATCCCTGACACAGTGACATAGGCAGCATGTGCCCATTGTGCAAACTGGGGCTTTCCTCCTCATGAAGAGCAGCTACCTCTGAGGTTATCCATATCCACAAGGCCATTGCATAAGCAGGAAATAAGTATTTAAAACCCTCTGCCTTTGTCTCCTAATTTTAACGAACAAATATCTGATGGGCCAAGTGCAAAGTCAAGTTAGAAAAACTCCCATATATTTATTTATTTAGGAAAAAAAAAAAGGCTCAAATCTTTTTGTCCTGCATAAACAAATTATCTCTATCTGCCACAGCTGGTATTCTTACTAGCAGAAAGAAGTTCAGCTCTCAGGCAGGTCAACTCATCCATCCTCTGGCTCTGCAATTTAACGTGCTGAGCTTCTGCCTCCTGTAGACCCGTTGCTCAGATGACAGGCGTCTGCAGCTCATCTGTCCCCTTTCACTATGTTTCATGCTTCCCACAGCAGTGCTCACCCAGGCTGCTCTGCTGTAGGCTACGTACCACGTAGCATCAGCGCGCACCGGGGTTGCAGATGCTTAGAACACCGCTGCTATTTGGTAGTTGCAAAAGACTGCAGAGCTCTGAAGGTGACAGGAGCTGTGAGGGAGGATGCAACACTCCAGCACACGGCAGCACTTACGCAGGTCCTGCACACACACGAGCACCCTAACCATAAACACTGCTTTTCTGCTTTTCCTTAGGATCCATCCACGGCTGCCTGTCCATAGCCTTTGGGGCTGCCTAATTCCTCTGTCCCTCAAAGCCACCCAGAGCAGGCACACAGCCCTCCAGTGAGCAGCAGGGACCCGTGAGTGCCACCAGCCAGCGTGCCTTGTCCCAGCACAAGCCCCTTGGCACCGACAGCACTCCCAGGACGCATCTGAGAGTGCTGCCACCACCTCCCTTGGGCTAACGCAGACAGAGTCCCACAGCTGACAGAAAAAACCTGGGTCTCTGCCAGGCTAGCCCCTTACCCCAGCTCACCACGCGTCGGGACAGCCCGGCGCTGGGTCCTGCCGAGGAAGCCCCTGTGCAGGCAGCTTTGCTGGGCCGTAAAACAGACACTGCAACATGGCCCAGCTGAAACCCACGGGCAGCAGGTTGCCAGCCTGGCACAAGCTGCCATCAGTGCCCCATTCTCTGCGGGACAGGGACACTTCAGGAGTGTCCTGCTGGGCCCAGGGTATGCAAGAGAGCAGAAACAGCGAGACCAAGCCATGCTGCTGTCATGTAGAGACATGTGGCAGGAGCAGCAGCACCACAGCCACCTGCCCAACAGGTCATAGAATCCCAGACTGGTTTGGGTTGGAAGGGACCTTAAAGACCATCTAGTTCCAACCCCCCTGCCATGGGCAGGGACACCTTCCACTAGACCAGGTTGCTCAAAGCCTCATCCAGCCTGGCCTTTAAGTCCCTTATAGAAGCAACTGGCCAGATTTTGTCCTGACCCCTGCACGATGCAAAGCCCGAGATGTTCACACCAACACCCCCAAACTCAGCTGCTACCTCGTGTTTGACATGTGGCATAGACTTTAGGGAGAAACAGGGGCTTGCCTGGAGAAATCAAATTATTCAAATGACACCCGTCGGCTACCGCCTCTCATGACTAAAGCCTGAACGCCACGAAGGAGAACTGTGTCTTTACTCCCCTCTTCCCCACGGGAATCCTGATGGCAAGCCCACACATAGTTGCCAGGATTAAGCACCCTCTCCCCCCGGGAGTCCCTGCCAGGTTGCCACCCTGACTTCGGGCAGCTGGAGTGCGGGCAGCAGCTGCATTTGGAGGACTCCACCGGGACAGGAACAATAACCGAGCAATTGCAAACGTGCAAAGACACTGGAGACCACCGTCCTCTCACCCGGAGGGCGCCGGGTGGGCTCTCACCC